ACATATTCTACAGTAAATTAATGTGCATCCTCTGAGGTATTTAGTCTTATAAACATCCCCTCAAGAGTACTGTCTTTCATCCTTAGCCACATGGGGCATTTGCCATACATTCAGGTTTCTGAAAACACAAAATTAAGTAAATTATATATGGAACACCTACCATTGTCACTGTCTCCTTCAGATGGGATACTGTAGCTAAAGTTGTCCCATGTTTGTGCCTGTGTAAGTGTGTTGAAGGAGATAGGAGGAAGACTGAGGGATGGGTCTGCTGGAGGGGAGTGATAGCCAGTCCAACCATGGTGGTATAAGGACCGCAGGGGGGATAAAAGGGGGCAGCAGCATTTCATATATGGCATTAGGATTGTATGGTAATGACGAAAATGTAATTCAAAGGTGATTAATACACAATGCGTAATTTTTGAGAAAAGAATGAAAGATGATGCAGAATAAAAAGAACGAAAAGTTTCATGTTAGTACTTGCAAATCATACATCATATGCGCAGTTAAGGCTGTTAAGCTTAGCAAGATCATTGTAACCATAGCACTTCACACAACTTGTTTACAACGAAGTTTTAAGAAAAAGTACCCATAGATTTTACATTATAGCCTGACAAAAACCTTGACTCTGTGAATCAGAAGGTAAATATATCAGCTGTGAAGTTTCAGCAATGCAAAGTTCAGAGAATAAGAATTTTGGTATTTTTTGTAACTATGTAATAAGAACACTTCCTCCCCCAAAGACAAAGCAAATCTACACATCCATATGAAAATATTATTACATTACAACTTCCTAGCTGATTTTTATAAGTAGCAACTACATTATCCCTTGGATTCTCATTCTGTTGAAATATGTTCTGCAAGTACATGTACTATAGATGTTCTCCTTTTGTTTTAATTCACTTAATACTACATGCAGCACTACTTTTATTTCTTGCTGACTCCCCCAGCAGTAAGTCCAAACCTACAATGGGCCCACCACCCAAGGAAAGTTCTGGTCCTCCGCAACTTTTACAGACTTTCCAGGGACAAGAACAGACATACAATTCCTCCAAAGGGTGATCCTAAGTTTGTGCCACAAGCCGTGGCAAACCTGCACTGTAGACAGTCTTCTAACAAACACAAATTCAGTAACGATCCAGCTGGGCTCTCTAAAGCATGCAGAATTGCACATTTCCACAGAAGGTGCAACAGAGTCTGTAGACTATTCACCAGATGACTGTAAAAGCATGTCACGCCTACAGGTCATGACCACCCATCAACTCATTATGGAGCTAAACTTCTACAGCAATACAGTCCCTATTCTCCATCCATTCTGCCTTCTCTCCTTCAACTGGTCATGACAACACCCCTTATTTGTTCCTCAAATCCTTCAGCAGACATTTTTATTCCTTCCCCACCACATCTACTCTGCACTTCTATCTCCTAATTGTGGCAAGGATTTTCACCCAGGCTTTCCTCAAATCTCCATTCTACAGTGTTTCAGAACTGGACACTGACATCCTTAAAATATCTCCTCCCTGCTTATCTTCAGCACGTCAGCCATCCTTTCAAAGCTTCCCACTGGTTTCCTATTTTTCTGACACAGAATTTAAATCTTTCTCTGCCCTTCACAAGGTTGTCACTCCTTAATGAGCTTTTCCTGTATCTGATCACAATGTTCCTTACCACTTCTGCCACAAAAATTATGAACTCACTAATTTCTTGGTTTCCTACATATATTCCCATGTTTTAGCTACTGAATCCCACACACAAGCAACATTCATGCTCCTCAAACTAAACTGGAGATTATAAACTACCTCTACTCTAAATGCTAAACCATAACCCTAAATCAATTTAAAATTACTGTGTAGGTCAAAAAGCAGCTAAAACCATTTAATATTAGAAGAAAGTCCAAGGTAAAGTTTCAGTAAGCACAGGAAGTCCCTATTTTATACCATTTCAAATTAATAATCATAAGGAACTTAATCACATAGACTTTCTCCTTCCCACAATTCTTGAATCTGTATTAACATGATAATTCATACAGTGTCGTATAAAACTTCACCTTAAACTTCTCTTCACACTCAACTGTTCAAGAGCTCGCTCTCTTTAGCCATGCCTTTTTCCAAAGCCAGTTTACTGCTTCTGACTATTGGCACACCGGATCAGCTGAACCCGACTCTCAGCACAACTGAAACTCTGAGCAGAGTCAACACTGGGTAACAGAATAAAGATTTATGGCAAATGATAAACAGTCTTTAATTATGCTGGCAATTAGGATCCTCATTATTTTCCAAAGTACACAGATAACACAGGTAGGAAAGAAAACAAATGGAAGGAAAAAATAGCCAGAGATTAGAAAAACAGTAACTAGCACTGAAAAAAGGGAAAAATACTGTCAAGTTCTAATGATCATTATGTGTTCCAACAAACTTGAAAGACAGTGAGGCAAGCATGTCCACAGATACTAACATTGTGCTTCAAATCCTCTACAAGTTACCAAAAATGAATACACTGGATTCACAAGTAAGATTATGCTAAGTAAACAGTTGCAAGGGAGCAACTTTTAACTTTACAATACAAACTGCTTTGTGATTTTGAGTTTTGTCAGTGCTTCTTTTAGTCTCTGAAGGTACAATTTTTTGTTTGTCTGTTTGTGTTGCTGTCACCTTGTTCAGCACAAACTATGAAACACAGTGACCTCAAAATGGCACAGAACAAAAGCAAAAAATATTCTAGAGTACTGCAAGCTGTGTTAGTAGGTGTTCAGGCTTCAAGGTCTGGCTTATTAAAGATATCATGGCAAGAACTTTGCAACACGCAGTTTCAACAATTAGCACCACTCCGAACATTTTAATCAATTCATGAATCAAGCATAAAGAGTTTAAATTTATTAACTATTTTGAGTTACTCCTTTTCAGAGAGCAAAAGCACTTCCCAAGAGCAAAACTGTGGTTCTAAAAAAACTTGTAATTATTGGTTCTTTTCAATACTAATTTTTTAAGGTTTTCAAAACTAATGTGAATTTGAGAACCCCGTATTCTATGCAAGTAGTTAAAATACAGGAGGAAATATTCTGAAAAATTAAAAAAATCCTCTGTCTCTTTACCGTTTATGTAAACATCTGACCCTTGAAAAGAATCTGTCAAGAAGTCAAAACACATTCACTACCTTTCAAAACATTTTCTTTGGGTAACATGTCAGCCATCAGATATGAATTTTCCCAATGTTTTGCCTAGCTTTAAAATGAAAGAATAAAAGGACCTTCAGTCCTGAACACATATCAGTATGTACTAACACAGTATGTATTAACACAGAAGTTTAAGCCACTGTGGTTTATCCTCTGGAAGCACTTTCATTTGTGTGTGTACTTCAAAAAACTGGAATCCTTACCAGAAGTCTAGAACAGTTTACTTTCACCTTTCCAAGAGACATAAATCATTATGTAACGATGGGGGTGGGGGGGTAAAACAGAAAGCAACATTTGTTTAAAATAGATGAAAATAAACACAGTGAAAATAAACTCTCACATTTCAACAAGGTATGCTTGTATATATTTTCATTGAAAAGTTGCCACTATTTTTTCCACAGCGATGTACACATTTTAGTTAGAACACTTAAATGTTCTTTTAATTTTGCACTCAGATTTAAAAGATTTATAGAAGCAAGTAATTCAAATGTAAGCTCTAATGAAGTTAAATAGCTAAAACTCATTTCCACTGAGTTTTAAGGTGTCCCCTAAAGTCATGAAGAACTTAAATGAAAAAAGCTATTAAAATAAACTACAAACTGAACTGAAAAACTTTCCCGGATCACAGAACTGCTGGACCCCTAGGCTAGCTCAGCTCTAGGGCAATAAAGCAGTATATAATTAACAAGTACAAATTCAGACAGTGATAGGATGGTTCAAACTCACACAAAACTTGCAAAGTTTTAAAGTAAATACAGCGAAGAAACTAGAGACATGGCAAGCTAACCAGCTTTAACAGGAAAAACATTCAGGATTCACAAACACGCCAGTATTTTCAGTTACGTACTACTACTGTCTGTAAATTATTCTTATGTGTTAGCAAAACAAATTTTAACACTACTTTTAGAGTAATTTTAGGGTGGGAGCAGGAGAGAAAACAATATGCAGCTTCACTACTCCTTTGCAAGGTTTCATTTTGTTACATTGTGCTACATAGCTAATATACTGTCTTTTTATCTGAAGTTGGACCTAAAGTTTTAATATTGCCAAATTCCCCTGTCTTACCATGGTATAAATTTAAGGTGACATGACTGAAACTGGATGCGATGAGGTGAAAGACTGTGCAGTAATGGCTCTAGCTTGGTGACTTTGTAATTTATGATATGGAAAGGAGAACAAATTCAGATTATCAAATTTTCTGCAACCCACAGCTGTGACCAAAAGACACCATAGTATTGGCATACTCAAAGCGATTCAAATACATGAATTTGAATTGGTACAGTGCAGAAAATCAACAGATTATAACCAACTGACTTCGGTATTCAATGAGGCTATACAGAGCTGCGATATAGTCAAGGGAAGAACTGTAGGAGTTGTGCACATCTGGTCTTCCATCACGCAATTCGGAGGATTTGTTGCAAAGGACTGCAACCATTGCAATCCAGTCTTCCTAGAAATCCTCTAAAAAATTCACTAGGCTATTTTGCCCTGACCTATTACAGTCATTAAGTGTAGGACATCCTGGCACACTGATACACCAAGATTTGGAAGCGCATGTTAAACTAACACGTGAACAAGAAGTCACGGTCTTGCATTCTCTCCCACAACGCTGCTTCCAGTCCCCGGCAGCAGATTTCACTGGCAGCTCAGCAGGACACAGGCTACGTCCCGTGAAAGCAGCCACACGGCATGGGCCCGTTTGCCTTCACACATCCTTCTCCTAAGAGTGTTATCGCAATGTTGCCACTGGACTGTGAAATATTACTCAATGTTTTATTTTTTCCAAATCCTGAAAGGACCCATTTGCTCATCATTTAACCCATACTTTAAATATACAGAGAAATAACAACATCTCTAAAGCATCAGGAACATACAAGAAGAGAGCCAGAGTTTAACAGTCCAACAAACTAAGAAATGCAACTGAAAAGATCTGTCAAACTGTATAGCATAACTATATGAGAAATTTAAAATATCCTCTTCATGAAACAAGGTTGGGTCAATACCATTTCCTTTGCTTTTTAAAACTTTTTTTTTTTAATCTATGGGTACAATTTCTTAAACATTCACATTCAAATGTGAAACTGCTGCCATTATTGCCAAGATATTTTGTTATGGAAACTACAAGCTTGTAGTGTTTACCAGCATTTGATTAGAAGCATTTGTGGTGAATGTGAGAAACCAGAATTAGTCTTAGGACGCTGAAACATACTGAAAAACCTACGGTTATTCTTTAGAGGTGATGTGAAATAACTTAACAATATTGACGACCTCAGCACGGAGAAGATAAAAACTCAGTTTAATCCTGTAGCTAATCCTGTTTTTAAAGGAAGCTGTTTTCCCAGCCCTCAAATACATCAATAGGTTTGGGTTGTTTGGTTTTGGTTGGGTGTTTTTTGGTTTGGTTTTTTTTTTTTGCAGATTCAGTGCATTGCAAATTCATTAAACTCAGCTGCTGGCTGAAGTAAACATCTAATCTTCTTATAATGCTTGATCCTTACACAAGCATAACTACTGAAAGAATCATTGCAACGAGCAATTTTCAGAGCAATGCATAAGCGTTTTCCAAACAAGCCTAATTACTCACATATATTATTCAACAAAAACTAAACTGTATCACATACTAATTAAGCAAAAATCATATTTCAATTAGTATGTCAGCACAGATGATATATATGTATAAATGTATAAAATATGTGTATTTATATACATACACATATTTTTTAAACATACATACAAGTAATTTTATAAAACACCTAATTTATTAGTAAGGGATGAAAATTGATCCATATATAATGTGCTAAATACATACTTCTTACAAATTCAATCTTGATTCCAACCTATAACCTTAAAATGTTCTAATCTTCTAACTGTTGTACAGAAAATGTTTCATCACTGCCTTCTTAAGGGAACAAAATACAGACATCTATTAATAAAACAGATGTTAAAAAAAAAAAAGTACACACAAATTGGTTAATTTTCTTTCCCACATTACCTGATCGTGGCTTCAGGCCAAAAGGGATTGTGGTGTTTGTAGGAGGAGACGTTATTGGACTTTTATCCTTGTTCTGTGTAATTCAAGAACATAAATCTAAGTAAGAGTAACATCCAGAATATCTCAGCACAACTGACTGTATAAAATGCAAAAGTTAACAATACTGCACACTACAACTATTCCACCATAATCTGATCACAATATAGCCTCAAACCTATGATAATCTCCCTGTTTTATTCTGCCCTATTCTTTTGCTGGAAAAGATGAGTTTCTGACCAAAGACTGCAAGATATTCCCCCTAGCCGTAAATAAGCTCAATTATTTCTCAGTTTTCTCCCACGTAATCACTTGGTTCCATCAAACATACATTTTTGTGGCATAGTACATTTAAAAAAAACAAAGCAAAGACACGTTTTTTCTTTAGATACTTTTGTTTCTTTCACAGAATTAATTACCACTCTGCATAGTATTTTCCATGCAACACTGAGTTTCTGCTTAAAAAGCAGAAAAGAACAAGCTAAGCATACACCTCAGAGCAGGATTGCCCTTAACCCTGAACTAGGCTAACAGTTGCAGCAGGAAGAATGGAGTAGCAGCATACAGGAGAAGGTGAGGTATAATCGTCATACCACCAATGGTAACATAGAGAGTCCTATAACTGAACTCCGTAATGGGAATCCTATTTAAAAAGTGATTCCTCAGGGAGCCAGGAACTATAGAAGTCCCATCACCAAGACTGGTGGAAGGTGGCTTGGTGCTCATGAATTTGCAAGATGCTCATACACAGTGCAATGTAGAGGGAGAAGCCCTGTTTCTGCACGGAAAATATGAAGGGAAAGAATCTCCATAAGGAGCTCCCTACAGTTTCCTTTTTTGACCTTCTGCTGAGATTTGCACCGTGCAAGCGACAGGATCAGTAAAACCAGTCTCCTCTCTGAAAACTAATCAAGGACATGACACAACTGTGCAAAAAGAAATTGCACTGAAATCAACAGAAACTCTTGTGGAACAAGGAAAAGTCAAAAAAAGAAAATGTGGTAGAACGAACAAAATATAAAAAAATTAAATGTTTTATACTAAACTATGTAACTCCGAAACAAGCTTATCAGAAAAAAATATTTTTCTACCCTAGTAAATCCTTAAGACGACAAGAATAAACCACAGGCCAAATAAACCACATAGCCATTACTGATGACCTCAGTCATATTTTCTGTGATACTCAGTTACACGTTTCATTTGGTATATGAACCATTCATATAAAACATATGAGAGAGAAACAAATGGCACTAGCACCTTACCTCATTGTGAGAGGTTTGCCCACTTGCATTCCAAACAATTAGATCATTCTGCGTGTTTGCAAAGGGGGGGGGGGCGGGAAGGGGGAAAAAAAAAAGACCATTTCAGCAACTATATTAGTGATACACCACAACAGGATATTTTACTCGTGATACTCAGAGTATACTCATGTATAATGTGTATACTCAGAGTATACACATTAATACTTAATTATTTTTTTCACTGAAACAATTTTCATGAATAATACATACTTTTATTGCTAGTTGAACAACATTTAAAAAAACCTTGTGGAAATTATTCACAGATTGGTCTTTTTTTTTTTTAGTTTCAATCCTAAGTGATTATAACTGCATTTATAAGATTCTAATGTTTGTTGGTTCAAATGCAGTATCCAACTTTGTTTCACAGATTTTGTAATTAAACTATCACCAAGAGTTTAATATGCAAATATAGATTTTTAATATAGATTTGAAGAGAGAAGTATTCCGTAAGCAATTCCTTTTATAATTGCAGCATAACATACCTTTTGTTACCACTTCTGCTATAGTTAAATTGGAAACATGTAAGTCACATTAATAAATATGAAATACAATCATTAATTCTGCATCAATCATAAGTCAGTCAGCAGAAACACAGCTGGCATAAGTAAAAACAAATTGTAATTCAATTCAAAATCATTTCCTGACAGCCGATTTTTTTTTTAATCGATAAAAAATGGAAACAAAAATAAAAGATGGCACTTGGAACACTTGGTCCCAACAGTCACAGAGCTTTCCAAAAGTTAGCAAGATGGGAAGGAAGATTACACACCCATTTTGCTTCATGACCTTTCCTGACTACTTTTCAAGCTTAAAAAAAATTCTTCAGCTTTAGACTTCTTTCATAATAATACCTCAACCACTGTATTACCTAGGGTAAACAGAAAGAAATCTTAATCATCTGATCCCAGCCAGTTCTACCTGGGGACTCACACGCTTGAGCACTCCTGTGCTCAGGGACTATGTTCTTGTGACAGACCTGCTAGTTTTGCCTATGTTGCAGGTCTAATCTCTCTCACAGCATGCAGGTTACTAGTCAGAATTTTGAATTTATGCAAAATTGAATTCATTTAGTAACACAAGTGGTAACACAAATGCTTACTGTACTACACAGAATGTAGAATGATTAAAAACTTGCTCTTGCAAGATGTGTTTCCATTTCATGGAACGCACCTAGTGCTTTCACCTGCATAACACAGTCTAGATCAGGCCCTTTACAAGTGTTGAAGAAGATTTATTTCTTATTTGGAAGAGGTTCTTAAATGTGAATCAGCAGCGTCCTTGTAAAACAGTTCATCAAAATACAGAGACCACACACATTTTAACACTGAATTAGCCTTATCTGTTAATCTCAGCAATGTAGTAAGAACTGTTCCATATAAAGTGTGGTAACCCCAATGTAGAATAATATAACGGAAGAGATGAACCAATTCAATTTTTTTGAATTTTATATTTTAAAGAAAAAATAAAGACAAAATTAAGACTAACAAAGTCACAAGGATATCATAGGAATATTTGACAGTAATGATGATTATACATAAGAATATTTGAAAAGCATCAAGCTAAACCAGATTCCATCTATGTCTGGATAAGATAGACCACATTAAGGTACTACCAATATAGACAGAACATTACATAATTTTTTTCTCCAAATCTTCTTGCAAGAGTATTCACAAAAATCCCTATACAAACAAGTTCGGAAGTAATAACATATGCACCGAATATTTAAACTAGATTATTTCATAGTTCTTCATTTCTGGATTATTGCAATGTACACAAAACTTAAAATATTTTTGAAACTTTAAAACTATCATCTCAACCTATGTACAGTCTGTTTGTAATATTAAACACATTAAAAATACTGCTGTTAACAAAAACTTAGCAGCTTGTATAACTACAAGAGTATTTGGGGTGAGGGGGAAGAGGAATCAGGTGTTTCATTTTATTGAAGATCTATCTTTGAGGTGACATTTTTTCCAGGGGAATGCAACCACTGCAACTACTATAGTGTTTATTGGAAGAAAAGACTTTTATTAATTTCATTATATCAGTTTTTTCCTGAGAGATAGGTCTTAATCAACTTCCCATCTCAGCCAAACCTTGAGATTCATGCTAAGGTGAAAAAAAAAAAAAACAAAACCAAAAAAACCCAACCTCCACAAAAACCCCACCCAATGGGCCTAAACCCACTAGTATCTCCACACACAAATTGACAGAATGCAATGATCCATTCCAAATGTTTCCACACTTACTGCATCCAAACACCTCCATACCTGACTCAATGACCATTTTTCACCCTGTTCACAAGTTCTCACTTCAGGCTTTGCTTTCTCCATCATCAACTCCCTCCTTCTCTGAAATTCTAGTTCCTCTTCAGCATTTTCTCTCTGCAAGATAAATAACTCTTTAGACTGTGTATCGCTGGAAATAGAACTATATCTTTTTTTGCATAACATTACCTCAGAAGTATTTCTTACAAATACTGTGATGAAAAGTGAACAAAGAAGTAAGCAGATACTATATACTTGCAGTTTCAGTGCTAACAGGTAGATAATGTAAATCTAAACAAAGTACGTCATAAAGAATACCAGTTCACCAGTCAGGATACAGATCAAATAATAAGCAGCACGTATCACACTGTAAAACTCCAAATCATACTTTATATACTCTCTGTAACTATAGTGACAGTGCTCTGGGAAAACATTAATTTTTAGTTTACAAAATATTTTTGTGTTATCCTTAACGAATGTACTATTTTCCTACACCAGAATGGGGAGATAGGGGGGTGGGATGGCAGACGAGTATGCATAGCTGAGCTATGAACTGGCATACATGAAAGCCACACACGGGGAAAAAAACCTAAGATGTAAAAGTAACTGATATACTTTTACAAAAAATATACTGATACAAAAAATATAACTGATATACTTATACAAAAAATTTTATATACACACATATAAAAAAAAAAACAACAATTCCATAAAAATGTTAAAGAAGAATTAGTTTTGTCCTCCAACCTACAATTTTTTCCCCTTCCTTACTTCCCTTCTCTAGATTAATAATTGATGAAATTGTTGGCTCATTCCCTGTTTCCTCCCCAAAATATTTTGTAATAATACACTCATTAACATACCTGACCAAGGGAAGACATCTCCATCTGCATTTGACCACTATGTATAAAGATAAACAAATGCAAATATGTAATTCATTGTGTAGAAACTTGAATATGATGAATCTAACAAATGCATTATTTTTTTCTAAAAAAGGTAGATAAACACACTTTACTGTAGACTCCTGAAATTCTAAAGCTGTTGCTGGTTCCATGGGATACAGATTCACACCACTGCTCTCTGAAATATCCATGCTTAATCTGCAAGGTTTGAAATAAAAACATTGCACTGGGGTATAGCTTTGGTAACCATTCAGTTCAGTATTTAATTTCAAACAAATGGAAATATGAAATACTTCTACAGTCATGGTTCTAACCTGCTCAGTGTTATCTCTTAACAACTTTTTGAAATGCCTCCTGATGCTTCACTATCACCAGTTCAGTCAAAGCAACGTTAATGCTTTCCTCTGCAAAATGTCACCCTGAGCAATGGCTTGTATCAAAACAAAAGGACCTGCTTACTACCAACAACCATGCCATTATCTAGAAGACGGCAGATTTCTATATCCAACTTCCAGCACCCTGTGTTCAAATAGGAGCCACAGCCCTGGTTAGACATTCAAGTTCAATTTACAGTGGATGAAAATAAAGCAGCGCAGCAGTAAATTCACAACAGACAAAGATCTGAAAGAAAGCAGTGAATATAGGAAAGGGTATGTAGGAATCTGAAACAAACATCTGAAAATACTGAAAAAGATTGAGTCTGAAATCTTTTTCCTTTCCAGAACTGAAATGCTGCTTAAGTGCACACAAGGTATGCAGATTTGAAACTGCAGAACACTAGGACAACAGTAACTGGACAAGCGTTTTACAAGTTTAGTAGTTATACCTGTTAGCAGAAATAGCTCCAACTGATATGCTCTACACTGAACTCTAGTCAGTGCATGTTAGGCATGTCAGCATCTCCTACTGTTTCAGCCCCTACAGTGGTTTCTCTTTCTAACTCCTAAATGGTCTTCAGTGTGAGATAAGGATAATTCTGGCTGGAGTTAGTTATTTCAACTCGGTTATCCTGACTAGGTGGTCAGAGTTATACTGATGCACGATGGAAACCTCTTTGGGGAAAGTTATGATTTTTGACATGCTATAGGTTTAAGTTAAAAGCACATGAAGGCTTTTGTGCATCTTAAATTAAGGAGCAATGGAAGCATTTAAAAATTCCTTTGTGGATCTGGATAAAGACAAAAACTATTCAGTATGAAAAACAAGATTTTCCTCACACTGCTTTATATAATGCAAATATATAACAAACTGCCATGCAATCCAGTAATTATAAAAGCAATGATGAGGAACCCACGGTCCAGAGGACTGAAAGTCTACAGTGTGATTTGGCAAGTATTAAGCAGCTGGGTGTATCTTGCTGGGTAAGTCTGTATGTTAACATACAGGAGACATACATTGAAAAGCTTATATAGCGGTCAGTAAATTAAAAATAAATACTCATATTTTAAGGTTAGAAAGTGCAGCCGCAAAAAGAAAAAACAAACAACACTACATAAAAAAACAGTAGAAAAATACAGACATGCATGACATGATTAGCCATTTTTAAAAGCCACATTTCAAATTTACTGTAGTGTGACTAATGAAAGCACATTTGAATATGCATGGAGAAACAGACTAATTTTCTGTATTTTATTGCCCTTTTTAATTTAATACGCAAAACTAAATATGTAGGAGATATTGGGGCAATATTTGACAAAAACCAAAATGACAAAATTTATAAGTCTAACAACTGATTTTTTTTTAATGTTGCTTTTTTCCAAACCAGACTTTTTCCTTTTTTAATTGCAACACTTCTCCCACAAAGTAATAAGCCTCGTATGAGGTGCAGAAGCAATGGCATACTATCTCACAGAAACCACAGGAACTAAAAAGCTTTCCTAAGTTGTATGACTTTTTATTAAGTAAAAATACTTGTGATTCAAGTATTCAGTATATAATTCAAGAATTCAAGTATTCTTTACATGATTCAATATAAAGCCAGACAATTGTCTCTCTAGAAATACTAACAGGAATGACTTTCTGTCCTAAAAAGTACAAAGGTCTGCTAGGTGAAAACGTGGTATCAAAATAGGCATTTAAACTAAAGAACAGTGTAGTCACAAGAACAAACGGCTATGGTGAACTGGCCAAGGGAGGAAGGAGAAACAAGGACACTTTAGGCTGGAAGTGACAAGGAGGTTTCTAGTCTTCAGAGAAATTAAGCTCTGAACCAGCTACCTCATAGAAGTAATGAAGAAAAATGAGTTACCTAGCTTTGAAATGAACTTAATCAATTTCTGAAGGTGGTTACACAAAGAAAAGCAATAGCAAGCATCTGGACAGAACTACCTACACCACTCTTGTCAGTCCTTTTCCGCAGGACAAGCATTTATTTTCTTTTAAATAACTTACTCCTTTGTTTATTCACAGATCCAGAGTCATTCCGCCTGACTTTAGCCACTTAAAACAGGCACCTAAATTATAAAACATTGCCTTCTGTAGTCAGGGGATATCTAAATAACTTTCTCTAGCTGCCTCTTCCTCTTTCTCCTTTTGATTTCAGAGGGAGAGTACAGAAAACTCCACCACTAATTCAGGTCTCCTTTATGTGCTTCATTGAGGTGGGATGAAGCTGGGCCAGAAGACCTTCTCCAATCTCTAGTAAGTAGAGGAGAGTTTATAGTCCCTAGAAGAAATGTGACTATCCTAGACAAAACTTCAAAAAATCACAGTAGTGTACACGAGATGAATGGTTAAGAGGTGTCTCCACCTCTAAATTTAGGTTTCTTTTAAACCTGAAATCCTTCTTAATTTACTGGGAATCTTGACTAGATACTCAGAGAGAGAATGCAAGTTTCCTTCTTAACTATCTAAGCGTCTCCTGAGAAACATCAGTATGTTAACAAAGCACCTTGTAACTCCAGAAAACTTTCAATTATCAGTTAAAGAACTCCTCCAAAGCCATTCACAAAAATTTTAAATACATGACATTAAGACACCAGCTACTGTAAGCATACCTGTTGGGATCTTGTAATAAATCTACTGCTTCTCTTAGTTGTTCTATCATCGCTATATCAATAGTTTGTTCTTCCGATAAATTTATTCTATAACAGAAAAAAAAAACATTCAAAGAGGTACAACAGCAATTACCAAGAGTAGTCTGAATTTCAGTTTGTGAGCTGTATCTTCCAGCTGGCATGCAAATAACTACAGAGGGGAAAAAAAAAACCAGCCTCTGTGCACACTAGTATGTGCTGAATTTAGCAAAAGAGTTTCTTCTGAAACTCTTCATTTTGTCCTTAAGAAAGCCCCCCAACCCAATACATACATACATGAACAAATGTGATGAACTAAAACTTTTAGTATTTCAATAAAAGACTGACTTCTAAAATTCAAAATTTATTTACCAATATTTGACTCTTATTAACTGCACTCATCACATATATTGTTTTAACATAAGTACTAAATACAACGATTTTTTTAATGGACCAGCATGCTTTCTTTTGCTTTTCAACATTTGTAATTCTTTTTGGGGTTTAGAAACACAATCACCTGTTAGTTCTGCCATTAAGGCTCTTTCAGAAAGTACTTATTCTTCCCTTCCTTCAATTTTTATTTTTAAATCATATAGGACTCCACTGTTCTGCTTAGTTACAACTTCACAGTACACTGTCATGCTAAATTCCCTTTTCTTACGCACTCTTCTCAGCAGCTGATGTTCACTTGCTCTGCTCTTGAATTAATGTCTATGAATTAATGATTGTTTCAGGGTTAAAATTATGACAAAAGAAGAAAAAAGACTGAGGGAATTTTTCCAATTAAATTACATTTTAAAAAATGTACATTAAATTTAGATCTTACATGATTTGATAAAATCCCTTTTTACCAACGCCATTAACAGACTAAATATCAAAATACCTAGTTAAAAAGCTTGCATTCTACATAGGTAAAAAAATATTACAGCATTATTGGTACATACCAATTAATTAGTTGTAATACAACATCTACTCTATTAGGCAATAACATGTAAAACATTGAGCATACACGAAGTGCGAGGCTGTGCTTCTGTTATGCCTCCAAGTCTACAAAATTATTAACTGATAAGGAAATGCCAGTTCTGGTCAATCTAATTAAATGACACAGCTAATTACTTATAGATACATAAAAAATACTTACATTCCATCTGTTTGCCATTGTGTGTCCTCTTCTATTCTCAATAATTCATCACACTCTGCTGCTCTGCTCTGCAAGCAGACAAAGTGATACTGAGAACTGAACTTTGCGATTAAGTAGGCACATAAATTTTGCTTTCAGACTCGGCTGACCTAATTTATGTAACAGTTTAGGGTGGCTAGTTGAAGCAATCCAACACTTCTGCTCCACTCCTCACTCTACCCCCTTTTAAGATACTGATTACAAGATCTTCTATTCGCTGTTCAGATTTTATTGAGGTCAACAGCACCTACCCTCCTTTAACTGTAAAAAGAAAGTCAAGCAGCATGAGAATTCTTTATTCTATGTCCCAGATTTCATTTGTGCCTTTCTGGTGTATGCAAACAATGCTTCAGTTAAGCATGACCCTAACTCTCCTCTTACTTGCTTCTCCTCCCACAGCCAGATTTGTTTACAGAGCAAGGAAATTCCACATATGCAAACAGTAGCGATTATGTACTTCATCCATAATTATTAACAGGACTCCTACTTGACAATTTTAACAGCCATGAATAATTTAAAAAAAAAAATATCAGAACAAAAACTGCATGCAACAATTCGTATCAGTCAGCCAGTTATTTTGGGTTCAATGTAGGCATAAATTAGAGCTCCCACTGTCCTACTTAAAACTATGAAGTGCTACTTATTAGAAACGTGACTCTCTCTTTTATGCTTTCATTTGGTGCTTTGCAATTTTCTTTTCTCTTTCATCTCAGATAGGCAGGAACACTAAAGCAGTTCAGCTGCCAGTAAAGACAGAAGCTCTCTGAATGGATATGCATTTGTACTAGTAGAGAATTAAGAGCAGAAAACAGAGGGGCTTATCCTCTTTTGTGTCATGTGTTTGGCACATCAGTCACATCACTCTGTACCAATAAATGCTATCCAACTCTGCCAGATGTGTCACTGAAGAGTGTACCAGCTTCTCTAACATTCCCCAAAGATGGCCCGTTCCCCAGAAGAATGAATAAAGCCATTCTTTTTTATTTTTCTTCTCCTTACAGGAATGAACTACATGATTTTTCCCATAAGAAGGGCACATATCATAAGATGACAAAAATGCAGCACTTATTCTAGAAGGTGATCCTCAGTCTCTGGGTGTAATTATATAGAAAGATAAATAAAGCCATATAAATTAGGACTAACATTTGAAAAACTGCAAAATCCTCAAAGCCTAAGCTCCTTTTTGCACTGCAAGTTGTACTGATTTTATGTATGGTTTGGTTAACCAGAATTTCAATTTTAGAAGACACACACACACACACACACACCCCACTGTCCTAAAAGGCATTCTAGCACATGACTAAATATAAACCAAAGAACACAACAGATTCAGAAATCTGCACAAGAAGGAAAAAGCCCGGAGTTCAAAACCCTCAGAATAAAATGGATGTACTACCTGTTCAAGTCACCAACTGCTGATCTCAACTGCCATAATGTTAAGGAGATATCAAAATTAAAAGAAATTAAACTGCTCACTCTGGCAATATTCTTATACTGAAATTCAATACGGTAACCTATATTTTACTGAACCAGTGTCTGCAACACATTATTTCAGACAATATTATCTTATTATGAGAGATAACATTCCCAAGGGAATAGTCTTCAAATGGTACACTACTGAAAATCAAGATAATGAAGTGAGAAGAACAAGGAAAGGAAATACAAAGTGTGTATATATATAAAAAAATATAATGTACAGTCAGCTTCAGATGCGTGTATCCCTTTGTCAGAGGAGAATGAAAGTATTCTATCCCCTTTTACCTAGTTCATTCACCTCAAATGTGCGCACTTGCTGAAAATTTCTATGCAGGAAACCTACGATTATTTGTTAACATTTTAACTATCTAAAAATAAGAAGTTTTTAGTGTAAAAGTCACAAAAGAACGAGCCAATATAAGATAGAATCATAGAATCATAGAATCATTAAAGGTTGGAAGAGACCTCCAAGATCATCGAGTCCAACCATCAACCCAACAACACCATGCCCACTAAACCATGTCCCTAAGCGCCTCATCTACCCGTCTTTTAAATACTTCCAGGGATGGTGACTCAACCACTTCCCTGGGCAGCCTGTTCCAATGTTTAACTACTCTTTCAGTAAAGAAATTTTTCCTTACATCCAATCTAAACCTCCCCTGGCGCAACTTGAGGCCATTTCCTCTCGTCCTTTCGCCAGTTACTTGGGAGAAGAGACCGACACCCACCTCGCTACAACCTCCTTTCAGGTAGTTGTAGAGAGCAATGAGGTCTCCCCTCAGCCTCCTTTTCTCCAGGCTAAACAACCCCAGCTCCCTCAGCCGCTCCTCATAAGGCTTGTTCTCCAGACCCCTCACCAGCCTCGTTGCCCTTCTCTGGACACGCTCCAGCACCTCAACGTCCTTCTTGTAGTGAGGGGCCCAAAACTGAACACAGTATTCGAGGTGCGGCCGCACCAGTGCCGAGTACAGGGGCACTATCACTTCCCTGCTCCTGCTGGCCACACTATTTCTGATACAGATAATCCATAGTGTCCTAAACATCCAGCAACTATAAATAACTCTTCCCAATAATCAATGAAGTTATAGACAATACACTATTGCCATTTTAAACACGACTGAATTCACATTTGTATTTGTAAATAACAAAAAATAATAAGCAACATGTATTTACTATGCAAATAAAGTCTTCTGATAACTACATGTCTTCAGTAACTATGAAAGGGAAAAGGTTTTGGGGGTTGTTTTTTTTTCCTTTGTTTTTAAATGCTAGTCCTCTGTGGCTGCCACCTCAGAGACTCTGCAACTAGCCAAAGAAGATCTGCAAGAAATTTGTTGCTAGGAAAAAAAAAAAAAAGGAAAAAGGTTGCTCGAATAAAGAGATCTTTTGCAGAACAAGAAGTCTGCTTCCAAGAAGCTGGAAGGCCACATCCTTTCTCTTTCCACTATTATTTCCCAGCACATTTTTTCCTATAAGCAATGGAAGATGAAAGTGATACAATGCCTCTTTGCACCCCTTAAGAATCTCCACAGAAGGAGAAAATTAGTCTAAAAATATCCATACTAGATGATCCTTTCTGGCCTACAAATCAAGAGGAGCCATCACGTCCACAGGAATGCTACAAAAATACTACTATTTCTCAAATATCTTTGCATTACAAAGGATCTAGCAAAAGTATCCAGCAAATACATTTTCACAGAAAAAAAAAAAACCAACACTTGCTCAAAATTTCTCTAGAATCTTTCAAAAACTCCTCAGCCTACCTAACTACATTTAATTAAAATTCATCAGGCAGTTCTTACTGTACAATAAAGGAAGTGAATTTCATGAGTTACCACACAACAGCAATCACTAATGATTCGTAATACATTTCTATGGATTCTGTTGCAGCTTTCTCAGACACGTGTGTCTAGACACATTCCACTAAACCTAATGCCACAAAACACACAAAAAAAAAAAAAGTAAATGACAATACGAATGGGGAAAATACAACTTAAAACAGACAAAAAGGCACAACAGAACAATTTCTAAAAGGTCATTCATTATGAAAAACAGTTCAAAAAGAAAGCACATTTGATAGTTCCCTGACAAGAAGCCACGTGCCAGGAAGATGCCACATGACTGATAAGCAAGTACTCATTAACCATGACAGAAAGACAAAAGTAATACTTTCAAACGGATTAAGCAACTACCTATGACGTGTAACCAGCAATCCAGAGCACCAGTGTTCAGTAATGAACATACATACAAAAAAGACTGATGGGTATAATCTCCAAGTTTCTTATTGTGGATAACCTGTGTTTTCTTACATACTTCATTATATACATACACATGTTGTTATACACACAAATATACACACAATTATTCAAATGCACTTTCCTATCACCTATTGCATCTACAAAGTTCATAACAGAGCCAGTGTATACCCCCAAAATCCATCAAGAAAGGAAGTTGCCAACTCCTGTAAGAGGTAGGTTCCTAGAATAATAGATTTTATTTTAGATTTAATATAATTTGTCTTTAAAGATCTCTCAATTTCTACTATAATTTTAAAACATTTAAGAAAATATATTTTAATACTATAACATTATTTCGTAACTTTAACCACCACAGCTAACTCTGAAAGTCTTCTTTCATTTTACTAATGTAACAAATGCAAAAATTGCTCAATTAAAAATATAAAGCAAATAGTACAAAACATATCTGCCTTTTTCTTAAAGCCTTAAACATAGTTACAGGATAACTTGCACATATACTAGAAAAAGAGATATGGGCAAATTGACCTCCTAGATTAATTATAATCACTTTAAACCTACCTGCTTATTTTTGCCTTTTGTATTTTTTATGACAATGACTATTAATTGCGGTCTCTTATTCATTAAAATGTCTGCAGTTTGTCATTCCTACTTGCTCTATACTTATGAAAGTAGTGAAGATATTTCCCCCCATTTAAAATTGTCACAAACTTGCCTTAATGTAACTCATAAATTCAGTAGTAAGGGTATCCGATTCATCACACTGGTTTCCTGTTTCTCTTGACTTATCATTGACAATCAAGTGAGAAGATCCCTGATGGAATCCCACTAATAACAATAAAAAAAGATAGAAGAATGATTTCTGGTTCAGCTCAACATTTGTTACTCAACACAATTTAAGTGTATTAAATTATAGAGCTCAAAAACAAGTAAAGTTTAAATTCAAAGCATATTAAAAACCTCAAACAAGTTAAAATTTTTGCATTCTAAGGAGTGATGCCAATTAATTTCAAAGTTGTAATAAATCAATACCTTGGGCTCATACAGTGTAGATCAGAAGCACAACAACAGGCATTGATGGAGTCAGTTTTGAACTACACCAAATATGTCTTGCCAGTACCACTACAGGAACACAGCTGGACAACTAGAGAGTATTTTAGGACGTTCAGATGTCTCAGCCAGTGACTTCCAGTTTAATGCAACTTCAGAGTGTCCTGGTTTCAGCAGGGATAGAGTTAATTTCCTTCCTAGTAGCTGGTACAGTGCTGTGTTTTGGATTTAGGATGGGAACAAAATTGATAAGGCACCGATGTTTTAGTTGTTGCTAGGTAGTGCTTACACTGGCCAAGGACTTTCTAGTTTTTCATGCTCTACCGACTGATGCACAGGGAGCTGGGAGGGGGCACAGCCAAACTGGCCAAAGGGACATTCCATACCATGTGACGTCATGCTCAGTACATAAACTGGGGGAAGCTGGCCGGGGGGGCCGCTGCTCGGGGACTGGCTGGGCATCGGTCGGCGGGTGGTGAGCAATTGTACTGTGCATCACTTGCTTTGTGTATTATTACTATTATCATATTATTATCATTATCATTTTATTTCAATTATTAAACTGTTTTTATCTCAACCCACAAGTTTTCTCACGTGCTTTTCCAATTCTCTCCCCCATCCCATCGGGAGGGGGGGGGAGTGAGCGAGCGGCTGCGTGGTGCTTAGTTGCCAACCGAGGTTAAACCACGACACAGAGTTATACTATAACAAACACTCAAACTCTCAGCAGAACTCAAACTAAATGATTCAGAGCCTATGCCAATCTCTTGCTTACATATACTACTTCCAGGGATATGAGGCAGTAATAATTTTCTCCTCTACTTGAAGTGGTCTGATCCTATAACTTACCCTCTCCAGCGTGCCGATAAACACTGTAGGTAGGATGTAATGCTTTTACTATCTCACTTAGTATTCTACTGAATTCTGATGAGTATCTTAACTGAAGTTCATTTAATCTAGTATGTAACACTGGGGAAAGGCTGATCTATTTACGTGGTTTCCATATACAACTCACTGAGTTCATCCTGCCATTTATCATTAGTACGTGCAGACCTTGGAGAAACATTGTTTATCAGTATGTAGATATAATTTAGAAAAATGTAAGTTACTTTAATAAAATTTAGATAAAATTAAACCTTCTCTCAAAATCTGAAGAGATTTATTTCTTTCCCGGGGAAACGCTGACTTTGAATAATAAAGCTTTATATATGCATTAAGTCCAACTACAGAAATGGACTCTGCTTTTGTACAAGATTGATGCTTGTTGGGCTGTGATTTTTGCAAACGGAATTTAGTCTTATACATAGAATTATTGACAGAATTCCCCCGTATTTAACTTCCACTTTTTTTACATTCCAACCTTTTCTTGAGTTAGCATGGTGACCTGAATCTTCCTTTACAACCTGATCTTCTTCCACGATGTCTGACATTGGAACATTAAAGCTGAGAGTATCTTCATCAGATGGCTAAGAAGAAATAAGAGAAATAAGAAATAAGTTTGATTCAACTCAAACCAAAACTGATAAACACGTACATATTAAGAAGAGCGCTCACTAAAGAGCGGCAAACTAATATGGGAGAGGATACCAGATCATCCAACATGACCAAATCCTGCTATAGGAAGCTGTAGTCATGCTGAATACATCCTCACAGTAGGCTTGCCAAGCAGCACAATTCATCTGTTGTCTTTTCCTATCTTCCTCACTGCACTAGTCCTCTCCTTGCAGTGACACCATTGCACTGTGCTGCTCTCTGCATGCCTTCCTGGGACAGCTGAAAATAGGGGCTCCTTGTAGCCATCAAAGTCCGTAGAAAAACTAGAGCCTCGTATCACAGTCCTTTTTTCTTTCCCTCCAAAACTCTTCTCCCCTGCATTACCACACAGCTTGTTAATTTAATGCCTAAAGAAAGCAAGATGAGCTTTGTAGGCTGAGGCAATATCTTTTATTAGATTAACTGGTAGAGCTGAAAAAAAGCATAAACTCTCAAGTACACTAGCTTTTCTTCATTGGCTTAAAAGCTTATCCATTTTTTTCACCTGTATTAGCTGGTACACAAAAACACATTACTTTTATCTACAAGCTTATCCTGTCTATGACTTTACAGATAGTCGCTACACAAAGAAGCTCTGACACACTAGCCTTCACTTCTCTCCCATGCTACTAAGGCTCTGCTGTTCTGTAGGACTGGCAGCAACCTGCTCACAGGGGGACCTGCTCACATTCCCCCCTGAGGTGAACTACAGCAAAAACTAGTACGCCTTTCATACCGTTTCCCACAGCATTCTCCTGGAGAAACTGGCTGCTCAGGGCTTGGATGGACATACTCTTCGCTGCATAAAAAAACTGGCTGGATGGCCGGGCCCAGAGAGTTGTGGTGAATGGAGTTAACTCCAGTTGGCGGCCAGTCACAGGTGGCGTTCCCCAGGGCTCAGTGCTGGGGCCAGTTCTGTTCAATATCTTTATCAATGATCTGGATGAGGGGAT